CCTAAACCCACGGCTTAAATGAATTTTACAGTATCACCATTTTGCTTTCCTTTTACTGTCACTGATCCTAATGAAACTGTAGAAAGTCCAACCGTTACAATGTTTACCTAATGGATAGATGTTCAGTTGAAATGGCAGCATAATTCGCTTGGACAGGAAATTCGGCGGGTTTTCATCATTTCCAGGAAATAAAGGGAGCCAAACCTGTGAATCAAACCAAACAGACATGATTTGAGTTATTTTCCGTTAAGGAAACGAGTTCCTTTCCAAAGTGGAAATTCAGGCTATGAAAAATGTCTGAGAAAGCAGTTGATAATAGCGAGACGTGAACTCAAGTCTTAAGCTCTCTAGCGACACAACAGTCAAGATCTAATTTCTCTTGAGAACTTTAACACAAAATCAAGCACGTCATGTATGAAAATAAAGAAGCTTTAAATGAGCATCTAATAACAAATTCTCCTAACTAAACTAGAACGATTATATGGAGACCAGAAATGAGAATTTGTATAAACATCAACATTAGCTTGGTGTACCTTCATTCCATTCGCTCCGCATCCCAGCCACAGAGCTTCCATGAGGTGTCGTTTGGTTCGACTTGACGTTGAGGATGTCCACACGTTTTCCACGCACGAGGCCAGCACAACAGGAGAGCAAAATGACGACTACACAAAACAAAAACACAGTTTCACTAGTAAAACAATTACTTTGCGGATGCAAAATTTTATTTAGAAAAGGAATCAGTTTAATGAAAACACAACTTTTGAAACAAAGGCCACAAAACATTTTCGCAATTACCGTATATCCTCGAATTAGCGCCCGGGGCGCTTATTTCAAATTTAGGAGAAAATGGAGGGGGGGGGGGCTTATTCTAGGGGGGCGCTAATTCGAGGATTTACGGTAATTCGTGGTCCCCTGCATCCATTTTCTTTCTCCTTTTTGACCGGTTCTCTCGGCTTCGTGAGGCAGTGGTAGAGCGTTTGCATTGGAATCACAAAATTCATGGGTTCGAATCTTGTTTAAATCCAAGGTTTACTTTTCAGCTACTTTAAAAGTTGCTAAAAAATGGCAGAAAGCTAGCTCTCTGTTTCAAATGACACAAAGATTCATAATTCTTTTCACGACGACCAAAATAACAACCACGATGTTGCTCGTACAGTGCACATCGAGCCTGTCAGCCATTTTAGCCATGGGAAAAGAAAAAAACAC